TTGAATAAAATTTGATAACCTTGAAGTGAACCAAAATAACCTTGCCATGCCATTTCTTCCAAAACAAATCCAATGGCGAGGTTTGAACTTCTCAAGATTTATTGACTAGGGCATGGAAATAAACTCATGAACCCATTGAGCAACTTGCTAAATCTCATTGCCTTTACCTACATTAGTAACAAGCAAGACAAACCAACATTGCATTTTATTAATTAAAAGAAGAAATCAAGACAAAAATATTCATGACCACAAAAGAAAACAAGTCAAGGTGCTTGGTGATTCCTCAAAGAGCAAAGCTAAAGATAGGGAGGGGAACCAAGAATCCTAATGTGATCTTGTTGTGATGGAATCAACATGGTATGATGAGGGGATCTTAGGGGCAAAAATTGGGGTACAACAAATTGGGTTACCAATTATTTGAGTTACTTTATTGTCTTCTACATTGTGTTATTGTTGCTATTATTTTGTTTGCATACTGGTTTAATAAGTTGGACCAATTATCCCAACATTGTGCCCAATATTTTCCCCTCGTGAACATAATTTCAGAACCCTCACAAGACTAGAACTAACACTAAGCACAAAAAAATTGGGCTTTGGTTGATTAACCTCTAAGGATCATAAACTAGAATATCTAGGTTTTCAAATATTGCAGATGATGAAGAACCCCCCATAGTTAGGGTCATTTATCATGTTAGCTTGTATATTGTCTATATTTGTCATGGCAAAGAAAAGAAAATAAATAATACAAAATTTAAGGAAAAAGAATAAAAATGGAACCTAAATAAAGAGGCGAAGCGAACAAGCAGTTAAAAGCAAGTGAAACTCGAAAATGATAATGAATCAGGAAACACAAAACCTAGATAAAAGAGAAGATGGAAAAATCAAAGATCACATGGGCTTATGGAAAGAGGAAAGGATTTATGAGAATAAAGTAATTCTTCGTTAAGGAGAAAAAGTTGTTTGATTGACCAACACAATTTTTAAATAGTAGAGTGGGATGGATAAATCAACAATCCTGAATATAGGAAAATGGGAAGATGAAAATCAACGGCCAAATCTCACCTCGAAAATACAATGATACTTGAATGCACTTGAGCATCCTAGGGGGAAAAATCATACCCTAACCTACGGACCTAGGGGCACATGTAAGGAAATCACGCGAAACGTCTCAATGATTATACTAGCATTTAAGGCACGTATCCCCTAGGTCTATTCCGCTTCTCCAAACAAGGAACCTGACATAGATAATTGGCACAAATTCTTGAAAGGTTTCTCACATGTCATGTCACGATAAACCTTAGGGGCAACAACTCTGAGCGTACCATATGCCCAATATTGTACATGCCCAATTAATATTGACATCATATAAACCACTATGTGTGCAGTCTAATGTATGATATGAAACACAATCCACTCTACTGCTTTTTACTCACTCACTGACTTGGACGTTAGAGATCTAACCTTGTTGGTCCACCTATACGAAACCGCACCGGAGACCTACACCACTCTATTAATAATCTACATCGTTCATTCACCAATAACTCTAGTTCCTTTATGCAACAATATTTAATATTAACGTATTTTTTTTCTAAAGTACTTGATAAAAAGGTTACCTGTATTCAATCTTAGCCATTTTATATTTTTAAAATTTATTTATTTTTTAGTTCACTACAATTGACCCAAAAATATAGTTCATTGTGTTAACCTTCCCCTTGAATAATGAAGCTTTGTATTTATTTCATGTTGTTTGAAGTGTATAATAATCTAACTATTAAATAAAAAATAGAGAAAATAATGGCGCAGAAATAATGCCAAAATTTCCAGAGTTATCTTTTTTTTTTCTCTTTGTCGCATAATCAACTGTTAGATTAATATTTCTCTCTTCAATGACAATTACAACTCTACATCAAAATATGAACATGTTAGTGCATGTGAAGAAACTTGGGCATTAAAAAATTTGAAGACCCAATCATCCATATCTTAGATTGCCTAATGCTTTTAATGGACAATAGGTGTTTACTATTTCTCCAAAGCCCTTAATTGGTGAGGAAATTTATCAACAAAAACAACACATTAAGATTGTCTTTGGAAAGAAACAAAAAGATTTTTCCTAGAAAAATATATGGAAAAAGATGTAAGTGTTATTTGATCTTCCATACTAGTTCATCCTATATATAATAGGTTGCATTGATGTGATGTATATGGAGAAAATGTGTGTGATAGTTAATTGGAATATTTCTTGAAATTCTGGTACTTTAAAATAGATGTCAAGACTGATGTCCCAACACTAAAACACAATGTCAACACATATGTTAAGACATCATTTGTTGATAGAATACTTTTACCAAAACAATAAATTATGCAGAAGTAAATTGAAGAAGGTAAAAGATACAATCAATTGTGAAACTAGTTCGGTGTAACTCACCTACACTGGTGTAATACCCCAAATCTGTCCTACCCTTTTACTTCCTATCTGGCTTACGCACTTTTGCATTTTTCTCACATTTGGTCATGTAACACATCATGCATCATTAATCAATAAATTGGCATAAGATCATGGATTTCGAGGAATAAGGGTTGGTGTATGGCTTTAAGGCTCCCATCTTCGCACAAGCTTGTTTCGGTTGATTTCTCCATTAATAATCTGTTTGAAGCTAGGTTTTCACTTCATGGACCTTATCATCATCAAGCTACGATGCTATTCTTTTCTTCTCAATGTTGAGTTGCAAGGTTTTATGAGACGAAGCTAAAGATCAGGGTTTATACATTTTCATATTTGAGCTTGTCAGCATTCTACCTGAGGTTCATTCCATATCAAGGTATTCGCATGTCTCATCTTTCATATTCATCTGCAAAGAATTCCTTTGGGCATAGTCATTATCATCTATTGAGAAGGGGTCCAAGACGTCGTTATTCTAGTGCTCATATAGTCGGGACATGGTACAAGATTCTGATTGTGATCAAGGTGTCATTATTTCAAATGCTTATTGCTTGACACACAAATTTAGTTCAGATCGGAAAATTGAATTGAATTAGGGATTCACTGAAGCTGTAGTTTGATTAGAATTCATTCATAATATTTGAAGTGGATTTGGAGAAAATCAAAGTTCTTAAATATTTGCGTGGCTTTTCTTGGAATTCAAACCACAAGTATGGAAAAAACATGCATCAAATTCATCCAACCATCAAAATATTGTCCAAATATCCTCTCTTGGATTCATTCAAGATTCATGTCTCTTTTGATTACCTTGCAAATATTTCGGATTCATACCATTTATTTAAATTCATACAAAGGCCATTTCATTATAAAGTCAGCATACATCCCAATGTGTATTCAAATACATACAAGTCCAAATTCCATTACAATTATACATAACATCTATACATTTTTACCAAAACCTATCCTAATTTTCAATCATTCTTCATGTTTCAAACTTCAAGCTTCCAAAACTTCGTGTTATGCGTCTTTGTTCCAACTTCATATCATCTTGGTGTTTTCCTTTTGCCTTTGCTTCCCAATAGCCCTGATATGAACCAAACCTGCAAAAAAAATATTGGATAAACTGTCATAAACATGAACCGCATACACTACACTTCCAATTGTCAAAACCAATTCCCTAACCATTCTCTAAAGGCAGCCCTGCACATAAATTTTATAGCAAAGTAACTTACTGCAACAGAAAGCAACAAACTAACAGCTTCATAACTAACTTTTTCCTAACTCCTAACCGAAATTAACCAATTCCAACTTTCCATTTTTCCCAATAACCTTTAACCAATCCATCAGCAACGTCCTTGTCAGCTGGTAACCACACCACAGTTGGTATTACACCTATTCCGCACAATGCTTCTTCGACAGAGCTTCTGAATCCATCGTGCACGTCGCATAACATATAAGCAACATTAGTGCATAACTCCTTCTCGTCATTTGACTCCTTTGCCGCTGCGTATGCTTCATAAAAAGCCATACCTCTAGTTCTGATGTTTGATGTAAAAAACCTATTAACACTAGTAGGTTTTATGTGAGAATTGGAGCTTACGGGTGGAATTGACATCAGCCAGTCTTCTTTTGTGGGATATCTTGCTCTTAATTCACCCATTGTAATGCTCAGACGTTCGAGAATGGTTTCAGGGTTCTTCATTTTAGATCTTGACAACTACGAGTTCTTTTCTTGATGTATACTAGTAGAAGAAACAAGAAGAAGAAAGTGTGGAAGGTGAAAACGTCTCTGGCCAAGACTTGTGGAACCTTTATTATAAAAGAGGGTATTTATATAGATTATGATTTTAAATTCTCGTTGAGCTTGTAATAGTGTTGTTGTTATACCTAATTCAGTTGCAGTATGAGTTCCAGTTATTTGTATATACGTACGACGGTATCAAAAATTACATTATGGTATTGGACTAGCTTCCTAGAAAGTTTATGGTAGTTGATCACAAAGAATCTAGGAAGATTCATATATCAATGAAAGGGTGCCTTCTTGAAGGTTCTTGAGACGAGCTTCAACTTGAGTATGACCTCTATATGTACGGTGAATGAGGTGACATGTGTTCGGAGGGTAATTTTTCCCAATAAACATCACCAAAGCAGCCCGTTTGAAATTCTTTGGGATTGAAGTGTCCCAAACTTTGGAAGAGAAGGATTTAGGGTCTTAAATCTCGACCATTTCTTGGTGTATTCGTCTAGTTGCATTGCAATGTTTGATTTTGATGGCGCATTTCATCCATAAGGGACTTCATCACCACCATTCTTTAACCAAGCAACCTATTCCATCTACTGCCAACACATTTCAGCGAACTTCATCCTCGATCATCATCGCAACGTTCAATATGCACTACAGTAACAACTACGTAACAGAAACAAATCGCGGACATAAGCGGATTTTGAAGAGGAGAAGAAGAAATCATAGAATCAAGAACACACGGAGCTTGAGAGGCTTTTCTTGGATAAGGTAATTGCAAACCTGGGCCTTTGTGCATCTGTTTATGATATCGTATCCATGGAGGGCGGGTCTATCTTCCCTGGTGACGATGCTCCGACCTACCTGGTGGTATTTAATTTGATTATGTTTCGTCCATTTCCGGGGAAGATTATTACTGGAAAACTTGTTTTATCTGATGCTGATGGCTTGCGCTTATCCATTGGATTCTTTGACGACATTTACATTCCTACTCATCACATGCCCAATCCAAACCGCCATGACCCTGAAAATAGCAACAAAAACAAAGGCACATGGTTTTGGGATTATGGTGAAGAAATTGATTCATCATTTAATATTAATTATACTGACAAGATCAAATTCCAAGTTCAAAGTGTGAGTTACCCTCCAATTCCAGTTGAGCAACCAAAAGAATCAAAGCCATTTGCTCCAATGATAGTTAGTGACAAATGGCATTTCAGGAGAAAACAAGACCTACTTTGGAGGATATTGCACCGATGAAAGTGGTCCATGTAGCATTTCTATCACTTTAATCATCGGTGGTCTATCTGATGGATTTGTTTGAATGCGCCATAGAATCACTTACTGCAACAGAAAACAACTTCTAAACCTCCCAACCATTTTCAAAACCACCCTGTAATTGAATCACAGCTTAACAAAAAGGACCTGCATAGTGAAAGACAAAAACAGATTTTTTTCATAAAACATTTCCTAACGAACTTCCTATCCAAAACCATATCTCAATTAACCTATACCCAATTCCCCAACCAATTCCCTATAACTCTTTCCATAACCAATTCATAACAAACTCTCAGACCTTCTAACCACTTCTAACAGCATAACTAACAAACAACCAAAACGGTTATAACAACCTCTCTAAATTCTAACCAATTAATAGAATAACTTCCTAACAGAATTTTTGTTAACCAACTTTCCATAACCAACTCTAACAAACTACCAGCATATACATAATAGAGCTCCCAGCATATATATAACCAGAGATTGACAGAATAAAAGGGGGGAGACGGTTTCAACAGAGGAAAAAAAAACTCGCCTTTACAATCATTCCTTCATCACTTCAGAAGAATCACCATGAAAAATTTCTCAGGAAAACCTCTTCACATCTTTATCACTCTCTCGCCTCCATAACTGTCTTCCTCTCTGCAACATCAAGAACGCAGCGATTCATACTTCAACCTTCAACGAATTGCAGCAACTCCTCTCTTTCAATCAACAACATCAAATCCACATCATCATCATCTTCATCACATTAATCATCACGGTCAACATCGATAGCGCACTTCAACAATCTGCAACTCCGAATTCGCAACGTCAACAACACCTGGCAACAAAAAATCGCACAGAACCACACAACATTACAACATCGCGGAAAATCGAATGAAGAAGTAGAACAAGAATCAGACACGAAACACATACCGGAGCGTATTTCTCTGGATTTCTCGCCGCCACTGTTGCGATTAAGAAGCCACCAGAGCTGCTCCGGTAGGTGAGTCCCCCTCACTTCAATAATTTCTTGCTTTCTGTTATTGTTTGTGTCGAAAGCGAATTGGAAGGTGAATCGGAGATGGCGCAAGAAGGCGGAATCGCAAGAGAGATGAGAAAGAAACGCGACAGAGGTGAGCGGAGCTTCGACACCGAGGGTTGATGTTCGATCGGAGAAGAAAGGTTGGGTAGCCGTGTCGTCCGATCTCGTGAGGGAGATGAAGAATTTCGCCGCGCCGTCGTGGAGGAAGAAGAGAGAAACTCAGACTCTTTTTGCAATCCCTAAAATCCCTTTCCAATTTCATATACTTTTTTCCATTTTATATAATTGTTTTATTATCTTATATTTTTTTATTTAATAATAATAATATGCTGAAATCATATAATTTTTTTATTATTTTATATTTTTTATTTAATAATAATAATATGCTGAAATCATATAATTGTTTTATTATTTTATATTTTTTATTTAATAATAATAATATGCTGAAATAATACAAAAAAATATGAGTTTTTGTTGTAAGAGGAATTAGTGATGGAATGGACCAAACCAATCGATTCCTGGGCCCCGCTTTTTTTTTTCGGTTGCTTTTTGGTTTATTTACTATAAAAAACATTTTTTTTGGGTTTATCTTGATGGGCCTAATGTCATTCTATTTTTTGCAGCACACATTGAATCCAGCTTGCACCTCCTAGGGTCTTATTTTCGATACTTATTTCGATTGCGTTTGCCATTAATTTTGGCAATTTATTTTCTTTGGCAATATTGGTAAATAAAAGAGATTTCTTTTCAATTCTCTCACTTTTTCTTTTCAATTTTAATCATTAGTTTTACTCATTTTTATGTCATGCGTTTCGCTTGCAATTTTTATGGATTGTATGCAATATTTTGATACTTGCTGCCTAATTTTACTTGTTCGTGTATTATTTCATGATTCCTTAGGAGATTTTGGTTCAAACTTAATCTTCGATTTAATTGAACTAAAATTAGACGTTAGGCTTTCAAATCCATATGCATACTAACATCAGGTAGAAATTTCCCCTTTAACCTAAATCTTATGGCTACTAACGCATAATAACATTAGGTTTAGAAGTAAGCTAGTCTCCTTCTGACTTTTCTTTCTCCTTTCGCATACGCATCTAAAACAAAAACTTCTTTTTCTTTCAAAATTCAAAATACTTTAAAACTATCGATGAGAATCATGCTTTTGCTTAGTACGAGAAATGATAAGCGGGTCTCTTCTCGATCTTATTGTTCTTCATCTCAAGCATAGGTGTGGTTCAATTCTCAAAGACTCCTTTCATGACTAAGTAGAAAAATGGCTGATATCTCTCTCTTGAGGTCGACTAGTCATTATCTGCAACAAAAATACAAAACAAATTCAAATCTTTTGTGCGCTCGAGTGCCTTTCATTAAAAAAAAACCCTTTTCAGGTAAGGACATGATTAATTTACTTCTGTGCCAACGCATAAGTCTCCAAAGGTCGAGCTGCGGCAAAAGGCGGAATTAACTTCGTCCACAAAAAACATCTACAACAAAATATAAACCTATTCAAATACTTTGTGCGCTCGAGCACATTTCTTTTAAACCCTTTTCAGGTAAGGACATGATTAATTTACTTATGTGCCAACGCATAAGTCTCCAAAGATCGAGCTGCGGCAGAAGGCGGAATTAACGTCGTCCATAAAAAAAAACAAACAAAAACATATGAGCCGAACTACGGTAGCTCTGATTCCTTAAAAAGGATACGTAGGCATTGGGGTAGGGCCCAGGCGAGCACAATTTTATTTTCCCTACATTCTTTTCCCCTTTCTTTTGCATGCATTCCTCCAGTAGTATAGTAAACAATAAGCATAGATTAAACACACCCATAAGATAGATAACAAGAGTGGATACCGTAGAGTACTACGGGCGTGTGGGGTGCTAATACCTTCCCCTCGCGTAACAGACTCCCTTACCCGATCTCTCGGTCGCAAGACCGTGACTTCTCCCTCATCAGGTTTTCTCGATGTTTACCTTTCCCTACATGTAGGATAAAAGACGTTCGATGGCGACTTCATTGTTTGATGATTTTCAGCCGGTTGTTTCAACTGGGGGCATCCAATCTAGGAAGGAAATCCATTATGATAGTATTAGTTCAAATCTAAACAACCCAGTTTACAACTTATCTCCTAATTACTATCTTGTGCTACTTTTACCTAGAAACTTTCTAGATATGAGATCCCCCTTTCACTTCCCACAGTCACCTCAATGACAATAAAAAAAACAAAACAACACACATCCAATTACAATACTCAATTTTTCTTAAAAGCTTTTGACTGAGAACAATTATTTGACACATAATCTACTCTTTAATTAAAAGCTCATGAGTGATTGGAAAGTAACAATGAAAAATCATTATACCTCAATGTATCAAAAGATACATGGGTGACATACAAAACAAACAAAGCCCACTAAAGGTACTCTCAAAACCCTAAACCCTTATCTTATGCACACATGATTTCTTGTTGTTAATTCTTGTTATTTTTAGGTTTCGTAGGTCCTTATATATATACTCTTGCAGTATGGGCTTGGAATCTTGAATTAAATCCAATCTTCAAATTGTAAATTATCTGCAAAATCTTCTCCACAAAAATAGGAATGAATATTCAAAGTTTCCTAAAATGTCTCCAAAATCCTTTTTATGAAACCAAATCAAATCTGCATTGTTCCTAATAAAATCTTCTTGACTTGCGAAAATATGTGAGATATATCCAAGAGAATATCACAAAATCAAATCAAATCTATCAAGAAAATAATAGTAGCACGTGTTGTACATTAAGGCAAGATGTCAAGACATATGACTCAACATCTGTTTGAGATACATGACAGTATTATTTGTCATGACAGTTTGTCAAGATGTCATGACATCTTTCTCAACATCTGGTTGTGTAACATATTTTACCAAATTTGTTACCAATCATAAAACCATAAACCTAATAATCTCCCCATTTGGAAAATTTTGGCTAAAACAACCTTAGAACAATAAAAATGGAGAAGAGGAATAAAACCACAAAGAAAAAAATACAAGCTACATGAAAAACATGTAAACTTTGTACAAACTGCAAACAGAAAACATGCAGCTACAGAGAGACCCAACCTCACACACAAAACTTCTTTACACTCCAGAAATCTCCAAATATCAGATTTCAGGACATGTGGTCAGACATCACATCAACACAGCCCAAATAACTTCATCTCAGCACAACAAACTTAGCACCATAGCACAACAACTTCGAACATGTCCACTACCTCCCCTGTCACAAATAATCAATACTCCCCTCAAGGGAACATCCAAACAAAAATGAACTATCCAAGTTCACACATCAGAGGCACATGCAACAAATGAAAAAAAAAATAAGCCTCGCAAATAGAAAACAGTTGCACAAAGTTTTCCATAAAAACTCTTCAGACAAGACGTCAGGACATTTGGTATGACATCATGCACACATCAACAGTAGAAGTAGAAGAAAATTCCCTTAAGCACCAGCAACAAGTATGATAGACAATCGTGCTCCCCTAAAAATTTGCATACATAGCAAGCAACAATAAAGATTGCTCTCCCTAAGCAATAGTACAGTCCTACCACAATGTTAAACAATATATCAAGACATTTGACATGACATCGGGACAAACAACCTTCCAAGCAAATTCACTAACACTGTACTCCCCTTTTTAGCTAAAAATTAACAAAAATAGAGTAAATGTAAAGCGGGTCTCTTCTCGATCTTATTGTTCTTCATCTCAAGCATAGGTGTGGTTCAATTCTCAAAGACTCCTTTCATGACTAAGTAGAAAAATGGCTGATACCTCTCTCTTGAGGTCGACTAGTCATTGTCTGCAACAAAAATACAAAACAAATTCAAATCTTTTGTGCGCTCGAGCGCCTTTCATTAAAAAAAAAACCCTTTTCAGGTAAGGACATGATTAATTTACTTCTGTGCCAACGCATAAGTCT